ATGTACCACGTCCACGGTTCAACTTTGGAAATGATCATACAGACAATGGATTCCGGACTAGGTGCGTTCCTCTAGGTCTTCCTACCAATATGACTATGTTGCGAAAACAAGGTCAAACAACTTCAATAATATAACATTTTCAAAAAATCTAAGTTGTCAAACGTTAATTTTTTTTAGTCCATCGCATCTTACCGGGCTAAACAACAAGGTTAGAACGATCAATGCCTATAAGCAAATTAATCTGGTATCCTTTATTTCAATTAGTTTTAAATTTTGATCAATAATATATACAATAACAAGAATAAATTTAGTTGACAAATCCATGATTATGTTAAGCTTAACTATTTTGTGGAAAGGAGTATATAAGAGATAAGCGTTTGAGAATAAGGTTTTAATTGCATCATCAAGTGTAATAAATAAGTTCATTTTTTCCTCCTGTAGTTTAATGCATAATGAGGTTCGTTAAGAGACTCAGAAATTAATACGTCTGTTTCTGTTGCAGGTTTTCTAGCTTGGACATAATATAAAATGCCATTCCTGTGTAAAGAAAGTTCATCCTCGTCATAATTACCATCATTTTTATCCAGTATTTTCTCATCTGTTGAAGCCGAATCGAATTCCTGTTTATCAATTCTCTTCTTCCTCTCTTTTAACACTTCTTTTCCTCTTTCATTTTGCTCTCGCTCAAGTACCATTTTTTCTACATTTCCTACTTCATTCCTTTTTTCTACTTCTATATGACATTCAGAAACTGTGTGATGTTCTTCTATACTATTGCTGTGCTTATTCGCATACTCCAAGTGCCTTGGAATTTTAGCTGGGTGTGAACATAGCTGGAAAACACTTGCCTTAGCATTATCATCTGGTCCAGTGAAAACTCCTCTTTTCCTTTTCTTTCTTTTGAGCTTCTTTTTCTTATGATCCTTATATTTTTCTTTATCTTGTAATTCTGCCTCTACGATATCTACTTCGTCCTCTTCCGAAATTTCCCCTCTTATGGCCTGGTTACCATTCATCGCCAACAGTGGTACCGCAGGTATTTGAGCATCATCGCAATTCTCGCAGACATTGGAAGAAAATCGTCCATCCAGGGCTTTCATCTGAAAGGTCTTTGGCTGTTCTATCTTCTGCGACTGATCACAACTAGCTATTAACTCTC